CATCCATCCATCCATCCATCCATCCATCCATCCATCCATCCATCCATCCATCCATCCATCCATCCATCCATCCATTATCTTTTACCTTCTTCAGGTATGATTGGTGCCCATATCCAGCAGTCACAGTGCGAGGGGAGGGTACAACCTGGAGAGGTAGCAAGTGACCACAGGGACATAGAGACAAACAGCCATTCACTTTCTCACTCAAATCTATACTCAGAAAGGTCCCTGGCTCAGAATCAATCTGGCAACCTTCTTGCTGGGAGGCAACAGCCCTACCAACTTGAGCCACTGTGCCACCCTGGACTCCAAATAATTAATGGCAAAATTTTATACAAAATATTTACAGATTCAAAACTGATGGGCAAAAATATTTTCCACATTTTCCTTTAGGCAGTTGGAAATTTTAAAACAGGTTATGTACCAAAATGATAAACATAGTGTTTTAAATTCATTTTTCTTCACAGGGTGCCTGAGCACTCATGGCTATTGCTTATAGCACTGTCACCCAGCTGGGCCTGTTTTCCCAGCAGTATCCGCCTCCCCTGCTGCCCAAACCTGGAAAGGACAATGTTCGTCTTCAAAAGCTTCTCAAGAGGAGTGCCAAGAAAAAGGCTTCTGCTCAGACATCGCAGACCGCAACAACGTTCCGCTCAAGCCTTTCCCCGGTGGACGAAGCAAGCCCTGACCAAGAGCACAGTGACCACTCACCCTCACCGCGAACACCGGAGATAACCCCCAGCCTCTACAGCATCCAGCCCCCCCCACGTTTCTCCGTCAGGCCGCTGTATCAACACGTGGCATCTCCATACCCCCAAGCAAGAGCAAACAAGATATTCCCTCAACTGGTGACCACTCCATCACAACATGCCTCCACAGTCTCATCATATTCTGCAATGAGCCAGGGTCCCGGAGGTTTAACCTCAACAGGGCAGGTTGCCATATCGTCACAACCATCTTCCTCTTTGCCTGAGGTGACTGTAACACTGAATGAATTTAGTACATTTCCCGAGAATTACGCTGGCCTTAAATCTGCCACAACTGTAGCAACTGTACCTTCCAAGTCCAAAGTTCCAGGTCCAACTCCATTTTCAATACTAGCAGGTCAAAATATGGTTAGACCTCTCATTGTGTTGACCCCACTTATCAAATCTAAAAGTCCACGGCCAACATTTAAAGCAACTGAACCCTCAAAATCTCCGAAGCCAATGTTTGATGTCCCCCAAATAAGGATGTATACAGCAAGCACATCATATTATGAGACATCTAGAACACCACCGGTTCATGGCACAGCTGGGTTAACTTCCATTGGCAGCACAGTACCTCAAAGTGCCACATTAGCAGAAACAAATCCTTATTTGCCTCTACCATCTGAGATTAGAAGAGTTAAGACACCAACTCATCATCTCTCATTAGAAACTAATTCTGGGAGAATAACGCCAATTTCAGAAATGAAAAGAGCAACTCCATCATCTGAAATTAGAGGAAAACCATCAACCCCAGTAAGCCTCACAGCTCAAGCAACTCAAGCTGTCTTTGAAATCTCAAGGCAGGATTCTCCATTGTTCACTGTGTCACCTGTTACAGTACATCCTGAAAAGTCAAGCACACACCAGACAGTTTCTACTATTAGTAGTTCTTCTACTTTCCAAAATGTGAAGCCTACAGAGCACCCTGAAACATTAGCAAACGGTGATATCCATCCTGACGTGAAACCTACAGCTAAACCAGTAGAACAAGGAATTAAAAAGTCAAAGTCTGAGCCTGATCTGAAAAGAGGATCAATCCTGACAAGTGTGAGCTGCCAAAGAGCTGAAACTCCTACATTCATGCCATCGACACAAGTAGTGGCCAGTTATCAGAGGCCAAAGACTCCAACCTATGAAGCCTCTCGACTCATGACCAGATCACCTGGCTATAAAAAGCCAAAGACAGCGCCATATGGCACTTCAGTTTATGGTGTATCACAAAAAGTCTTTCAAAGACCTAAAACGCCAGTTTATCAACCGTCAAAGACTACCGATCAAGAACCTACACCAGCGGAACATGCTGACTCAACACCTCTTGCAATTTCAGTTTCAGTAATAACAACAAAAGATGAGGTTAAAGCTAACAGAGAGTTAGCAGTAGAGAGTATGCAGGAACCATGTGTGAAGCAACAATCTACAGCTGAGATCTTTAAAGAAAAAGACAGCTCCTACAATAAAAAAGAACCCCAGCAGGGGTCTGAACCGCTTGCTGCTGCCGCCTCAGTCCCAACCGCTGTTGTTTCCAAACGGCCTGACTCATCAGTACCAATGCCAAAGAAAGAGGCAGGCATACTTACTGGTCTGGTTACAGCAAAACAGGACACAGTAATTCAAGAAAAACAAAAAATCCCAACATCAGTCGGTAGATTTTTAGAGAAACAGAATATGGAAACAATAATTCAAGAAACAAGACCAACAGCTGAGACGTCCGAGCCTCCTCCTCTCAAGGGTGGTGACCAAGATCCGATGAAGGCAGTAAAAATGCTTTTAGCCACAGATAAAGGCAAGACTGATACAAAAAAAGCTGTAACTGAGACTAAAGCTGATGTTTCAGTCCACACAAAAATTGTACCACCTGCTTCTGACACTAAGATCAAACCTAAAGGCACAGGGTCAGATTCTGCAGCAGCTGCTCCGGCTGCTAGCATCCCTGCAACAGAATTAGCTGAAGACAAAGAAAAACAGAAAAAGAAGGAAACAACAGAAGTACCTCCAGCAGCAGAGTCCCTACTTAAAGCTACACAAAAGCCAAAGGGACTGAAATCTAAAATGACTGGATGGTCGAGGCTCAAGAAGCACATGGTGGTGGAACAGGAAGAGCCCAAATTTCCAGAAATCGTCTCTCAGAAAGAGGTCAGTGAGCAGGACCTGAGTGAGACAAGGCTGGAAGACAAGCCTGGCGAGAAGCCGAGTACACAAGATGAGAAACAAACAGAAGCTGCTCCCAAGGCTACAAAAATGTGGGACGCCGTCCTCTTCCAAATGTTCTCCTCTAAAGAAAACATCATGCACCAGATCGAGTTAAACAAAAGCGAAGAGGAAAAAAAAGAGGACAAGATGAACGAGTCAAAGGAGATTCCCTCATTTGCGTACAGGCTGCCAGTCCTGCTTTTTAGTCCCAGGTTTGATGCTAAAAAGCTTAAAGAAGCAGCGTCGAGACCCGTCACGAAAATTTCTACCGTGTTTGAAATGGGTCTGATTGGAAGAAAAGGTGCCGATGAGGAACCAAAAGACTTTAACAGAACAGCCAGAGGGTTTACTTCTACTTAGACCCTGGCTGATGTGAAGAGTTCAGAGTAAAAACAGGTCCTTCATTGAGCAGCAGAAATAATGTACAGGTCTAGTCTTAGTCTTTATGTACACAAATTATTTTCTGGCTTGTTGAAGTAAATTTTACTGCAACTCTATACTTGACAAATACTTTATGTAGCTCTGACTGTATGGTAGTTAGTGTTAGTATGTTAATTAGCTTGAAACAGTAACATCAGATCAAATGTTTATGTCAACTGAGATTTGTTCTTTTTATTCCACATTTTAAAAATCCATATTGCTAGCTTATACATTATTTATGCTCAAGGTTCTTTAATATTTACTAAATATGTAGTTTTACAGATAAAAACAATAAAATTGATACGACAAATTATGTGTGAAAGAAAATTTGTTCTTAATTATTGAAATGTTTTGGTCCTCTTACAGCTCATTGAAGCAAAGCTTCATTTTCTGTCAAAAATTATTCATTTAATTTATTTAGGATTTATTTATTGTGGTTGCCTTTAGTATGGGATTGAGTAAACAACAACAATAAAGAAACAATCTGTTGTTTGTTTTCCAAAGATGTGTTGAAATATTTTGGACACATTTGTTGGAACCTTAAAGAGACGAACACTCTTTGTGTTGTAGTGAGGTTTCATACTGTGTTTAACTTTAATTAGTGTCACAGTTCAAGCTTTTCTTCAGACATTCAGAGTATTTAAAGAAAACAAACAGCCACTGGGCCGCCTGCCATGGTTGATAGAACCACTCTGAACATGAAGCAGAGAAAGCAAAGGACTGTCTGATTAAAGATCTCCAAGCAGCTTCATGTTCCTCTGATGACAGTTTGACAAGATAATTTAAAAAAGGGAGGTTCACGGGACTGTAGCCAATCCTTGAGGGTGTGGACGCAAGAGGAAATGCGACCCCAGGTCCTGTGGTTCATGGAAAAAGAACCAAGGAAATTGTTAAAAACCACTGAAGCTGAGCAAGGTCAAGGTTTGTCACTTTATGATCAAGTCATCTGTGACATTTTGAATTAAAATGATGAAGAAGACCCAGGAGGCTCCACTACTGTGAGGATCTGTGTTTATTTCACTTTGATTTGTTTATTTCTGGTGTTTTCTCTGTGAGTTTGCCTCTGTTCTTCCCCAGCTCCTACCATGCACACCTGATCCTCATGTCTCTCCACAGGTGTTCTCAGTTCTCTCCTTGTTTACTCACCTACCTTTATATTCTGTGTCCTGTGCTCACTTCCCTGTTGAACCAAATGATCACTCAAGTAACAAGCGCTGTTTGTTTGAAAAACATATTGTAACGGGGATCTAGTAAATGAGTGCACACATACTTTATGTATTTCCTGAGGGTAACAGGTTTATTTAACTACACATCCAAGTTGTTATGAGAGCTAGTACCTTTAGATGGCAGTAATACTCCAACATGGATGTAAGTTGCTGATATATCTCGCAGAAGAAGAACACTTGCATGTTGGTTCAATGGTTGTGTCTCAATAGCCTACATGCGACAGACATCCGGTCCAGCACTAGATGCCACTCCCAACACTTCCGGTTCAGGGTCAACACAGTGTTAGCAAAACATTTTTTCACCCGACGACTCTTGATCTCCACAGTACATAATTAGCATATTACATGTACCAACATTAACACAAGAGATGTACAGGTCCAGCAAAGTAGAAAAAAAAATCACTCCAAAGTGGATTAAAGACATAAAAACAAAGGAAAGACGTTCGTGTTTATGGTTCCAGAATTCAGCCTTTTTCACTTTTCCGTGGCTGCTTGTTCCGTGAATTATTCACGTAGAGCTGTGACACTTATATTGTTGGAAAGAGCAGAGTCTGGGCTTTAAATTGATGGGCTACTTGTATGGTTTGGATCATTTCCCCCGACGTTAGTGAACTGAAAACATAATGATTATCAGGCGGAGGTTCTGCTGCTCTCGGTCGGGGAGGGTGGGCTCGTCACTCGGCTTTAGTCTACGCTGTAATATACACTCTAACAAGGTTTTACTTTAGTCTACGCTGTAATATACACTCTAACAAGGTTTTACTTTTGCATAAAACTCATGACAAAGTCGGATAAAAACATTTCATATAACACAAACGCGCGCACACACACCTACCTTTGTACCAGCTGCTGTGTTAGCTTCCTGCTACCTGTCGTGTGGAGGTGGTCTTTCCTCTCTCGTCTTGCCAGTAAAAGGGGATAAATTTACATTTCCCTTTTGTAACCTCCATCTTCTCATTTCTGATGCTGGCTTTTGAATATCCTCAGGTTAGAAATGCCGATTACAAACTCAAGAGTGAGCTTTTAAAGATAAGTTTTCCTTGTAATGTTATGATCCACAGCTGTCACCTCCTCATCAAGAGGAAAAGGGATAAAAACTAACTACTCTATTGTACCTGCTGCTTAGTGAACACAACGGCACACAACAGAACTCATGTTTTACACCAGTAGATCACAGATGCTTTAACTTTTGTGACATTTTCACGGACTAGTATTAGGCGCTTACGCTAAAAACATAGGCAGTAAGCAGGGAGTGGAAGGGAGGAACGTGGCAAAAATTTTACCGGAAATACGTCATTAATGACCGTGGCATATAGGCTATTAATGGGATGCAGCCAACGTTGGCCCCATTTGTCTGCAACCTACATCACTGCCCAGCGCTGCTCAAATTCATCGACACCTACACATGTGGCCGACAAAACCCAACAAACGTTGGTTACATTTGGGTACCCTACGCATCCCAGAATTCATTGTACCATCAGCAAATTAAACAGAAAAACAAAAACGGCAAAGTTTTAAAAACATTTTAATGACGGAGTTTGGACTTTTATCATGGGCCAAAAAATGTAAGCTAAACAACTTAGCTGAAGAAACGTTTGTTGCAATGAGATGTTAACTAAAATGCAGTTACAAGTACTGAAACTGGAGTTAAACCCAAATTAGTAATGCTTTTATTTATTTCCTTGAAACATGTTTCTATTAAAACTGAATTTTATGCAGTTATACCTTGAAAAAACAACGAAGCGATGTGATATAAAACGTATCGCCATGAGGCAGAGAGTATTTACACAAACTTACGTTTTCTGTAGGGTAGACCGTCCCATTTCAGAACCGTTTATGCAGCCGACAGAAGCAGCCTACAGCACACGTCGACTGTGGCCAATGTCTGCTGCGGTCTACGTCGGCTGCAGCCCATGAACTGAGACACAGCCGTCGTGTCTCAATTCATGGGCTGCATCTTCATGAGTATGTGGCCCACCTGGACCACATCCCTCCCAGTCCAGGTAGGCTGCATTAAACTGCTGTGAAATGAGATGTTCTAGCCTTCGCTTGACTTAAAATTTGTTGGGACATGTATCCACATGACTTTTCACCGACTAACTTAGCTGAAGTTAAAACGATACACGTAAATACATTTAAAGAAACACATTAATAACTTGATTTTAGCTCCAGTATCTGTACTTGTAGTTGCATTTAATTTAAAATCTATCACAGCATAAATTTCATCAGCTAAGTTGCTAAACTTACATTTAAAAACAAATTCTTCGGTCCGTGATGAATTTCCAAACTTGGTAGAACAATTAAAACACCACCCTCTCTGTTTCTCTGTTTAGTTTTCTATCAGCACAGTGAATCCTAGGATATACTCTGAAGCATTCTTGATTTTTGAGATTTTATGAGCTGCATTCCTCGGCCGCATGAGGAGAAGCCTTTGAATTGGGACAACACTCGGCGCGAGGCAGTGATGTATGTGGCTGACAAATGCGCACTCATGAGGATGCAGGACATGAATTGCAGCTCAGCCAATGTGCTTTCCAGCCAGTTTGGGTTGTCCTTCGTGCTCCTCTCTGATTTCCTTTAATTAAAATGCTCCGTTGTCAGCATTTTATGTTTGTAAAAACAAATCTTTATTTTGATCCTTGAGTTTTGCCTGCTCCTTGGGTCTAAACATACAAACCTGACATGTTTTTTTCAAGTGCTTCACCATCATCCTCATCAGTTCCAGGGTATGCACATCAAATGGTCAATTTCTACTGGAGCTGCAGCTTTCACAGTGCGCCTCCTTCAGCATAAAGCAATAAATATCCCAAGACATTTACAACTTTCTGCCCCACCTTAGCCTGTGCTACAGTTCCTGCACTTTCTTCGATTAACACAACACAATCTTTGACCTCCAAAAGTGACCCATCTCAACATGATACCCAACAGTCTTTAGCCTGATGAAGTTGTCTCCATGGCCCTCTCCAGAAAGAGTTCCAGAAAATTAGTATGGACAAGATATGTATGGTATAAATCTTGTGCCAGCAGGAATTTAATTTAAATTGCTCAGATGGAATCTGAATGTGCATAATTTGAAATTGAATACGTTGGTTTGAAAATAAATTTCACTAAATTGAAACTAAATTTAATGATTTGAAACTGAATTTAAAGTTTTGTATCTGAATTAATTTGCTTTGAAACTGTATTTTGGTTTGTTAAAAATGCAGCTTGACTACTTTCACTTTAAGTTCTAAAATTCATATTTTTGTGTCACATCCTGGTCCTTGAGAAAGCCAGCCAGAGTAATCAAACACAGATCCACAGATTTATGTTTCACTTCGGTGAAGCTTTCCTTCTGTAATGTAACAGAGTTGATGTGATCCCCCTTAAAAGTGACAAAAACAGTTATTTTATTGCAGTCATTAATTTTACTTATATGTAGAAAATGTTACATTTACATCACATCATGGATCACATATTGATCAGATGCTGCTGCTGACTGATCCATGATGTGACGTAAATGTAACATTTTCCATAAGTAAAATTAATCACTGCAATAAAATAACTATCTGTTTTTGTCACTTTTACAGTGGATTGAATCAACTCTGTTACATCACAGAAGGAAAGCTTCACCAAAGTGAAACATAAATCTGTGGATCTGTGTTTGATTACTCTGCCTGGCTTTCTCAACGACCAGGATGTGTGACACAAAAATATGAATTTTAGAACTGAAAGTGAATTATGGAACTGAAAGTGAAAGTAGTCAAACTGATTTTTTAATAAACCAATATACAGTTTCAAAGAAAATTTACTCAAATTCAAACCATTAAATTCAGTTTCAATTAAGTAAAATTTATTTTCATACCAATGCATTCAATTTCAAATTATGCACATTCAGATTCAATCTGAGCAATTCAAATTCAATTCCTGCTGGCACAAGATTTATACCACAGCTTTGACAAAGTTACTTATTTCACAAGTGCCATTTTCATAAAGTTTTACTCCTGCCAATATGATTAATCTGAAATTTAATATTGAATTAGATTTTAGGGTTATAATGCAGGATATTGCAGGATCACATGAGATTGTACACAATCTTTCTTTCAAAGTTTGACCAAAATCTTTTTTTCAAAAAGGATGATCTTAGTCAAAATTGATGGCTTGAAAGATAGAGGGTGAAAATTTTGTAAAATGATGAATGAAATTTCATGTTGAAATGATTAAAATATGTTGCTTGATGATGAAACACATTTTATTTTGTTCTGGTTAAGATTTGAATCTAAAGGACACAATAGGTCCAAAAGAACTGAGAAGATGGTTTGATATAAAAAATGATTAGGTAATAAAAGTAAGACAGTAAAGATAGTTTAAGAGACATTCCGATTTTTGTGGGTTTGGTTTGTATGTTTTCTGTTTGGATCCTTTTTCCAGCTCCTCAAAGGAGGATCAGTGAGGATAAAACTGGACACCTCTCCTCAACCTGAGGACTTCCAACCACGTTAAAGAAAGGATGGTGCTGCAACAAACCTAAAGTGCACTTTACACAAACAATCAGAGAAGAGACAAACCCACCAAGGTCAGTCAGAATGAGCAAACCAGTACAGCCATCCTTTGTCAGCACAGCAGGAAACTCACCTGAGGTCATTCGTCTGCAGCGACAGGAGAAGATGGAATGCAGCCCGACGTTCAATCTGCTCACAGGACTCAAACAAATCACCAGTCGGATACATCAGAGGAAACCCTCAGCCCAAAACAAACACCAAATCAAACTGTTCTGTAAAGGGAAAACCATGCACCACCTTGGACAAAAGTCTGGATAGAAAAGATAATGTTGACGTCTGTGATGAAATACGTTTGTTTAATAGGAACATATGAGTGAGACTGCTTGTTTGGTAGTTTTGAGTTTACAGTAATGCATTTGATCTGTTCTGTTGCCTTCATTGTGTGTAATGCTTGACCACAAATACTCTAAGGCACAAATTTTTTTCTCTGTGTTTTTCAGGAGTTACTCAGTTGTCTCTTTGATCGGTGGAATATTTCACAATCTTTATTTCTAACTGAATCAATGAAAACTGGTACATTTGGAGGCGAAGCTTCTCTGTCAGAAGCTTTAGCTGGGTCCAGTGAGGTTTCTGTGGTTGGGTTGAGTCTTTGTCACTCTGGTCCATAGATTCCAGCAGGAACCTCACAGATAAAATGTCTCTGGGACTTTAAGGTCCTGTCACACCATGTTTTAGACAACCTACTTTTTTATGACTCATAGATTATATATTAACTCTAATAGTTAGCATTAAAATATCTATACATGCAAAAGAGGCTTCCAGTAGAATTTTTTGTTCAATCCTTAACTTAGACATCTTCAGCATTGGACAAATATTTCAATAGGTTGTCTAAAACATTATAGACTGACAGAACCTTTAGATGTAAACATCTCTCCATCATCATCATCCTCTCTGGTCCACAAGGGTTTTATGCAGCTTCGAACATCTTCTTCCTGTCTGCCTTGTCCTCAATGTTTTTACGCCAGTCCCCGATGGCCTCGGTCGGCTGGAAGACAACAAAAATTTGTCAACATTAAGATAAGAAAAGGATATTTGCTGTTGTAGATTCTCAGTTATTCAGGACTGACTGGACTACAGCCAGAGAGCATGAGAAGTACGAGTAGTATATGAAGCATAAGAAGTTCCAAGCTTCAATGAGATGCTACTAATGCAGTAAAATTAACATTCAAGTTAAACTATATGACCCTCACAGTAGAGTCATTAGGGTTTTTTGTTTTGCATGTTTTGTTTTGAATCTAGGTTAAATAACAGAACTTTTTTGTGTTTTAAAACGTTCACATTTCACAGTTTTTCTTTTTTAATTAAAAATGCTGTTCTGACGAGAAGAGAAACATCTTCAACAAAAGACTACAGAATAAGTTTGGTAAGACAAACACTTTCTCATTGTAATTAGATTATTTTCCCTTTGGTTCAGTTTGACTTGACTTTTAGGGTGTTTGTATAGATGTTTCATCTCTGATGAAAGATGGCTCTTAATCAGACTTTTGTACAGCAGGCAGGAGTTGGAGCGTCTGTACGAAAGATGGAAGCTCAACAAACAGGAAGTCAGTTGCTCAGTGGCAGAAACAGGATGTCTCCTCATAACGTGAGGTTTGGTCTCAGCCCTGAAACAGTTGAATGTTGTCAGGACTGCAGTACATGAGACATATTTCAAAATAATAGAATGGTTTTGTGCCATGCAACATTTTTTTAATGATTTTTGATGCTTGTCCAGAAGGAGGGGAGTTTTACAATGTGGCTCTATGTCATAATGTCTGTAAGTTTGCACACAGTTTGTTTACACAACCAGAAATGTAAACAATTTTCCCATCTGACTGGCTTGTAGATTTGTGTAGCTTGGATCAGGTTATGCTATGCTATTGTTGCAATGCTACTATGTCATGTTAGCTATTTAGCATTAGCAGTAGTGTTGACAGGTAGGCTAATAGCTACATTGTCAAAATCCCTATGTTCGCCAGCCAGTGTGTGTGAAGCTGCAGTTGTCATTAACTATTTGATGTCAAGGACCAAGCTGTGCATCATCAGAATGTTTCAGTCATGGTGTCGTAGGATTTCACTCATCTGGATGAAGAGCCCCATACAGCTAGCACAACACGACTCAGGGATATTGGTATTCAGTCGGTGTAATCCCCACGGCAAAACCTAAAAAAGCTGTAAAAACTCCTTTCCTCACCTCCTCTTTGACCTCCTTCTTGACCTGCTTCAGGTTGGCCCTCAGGTCCATGTTGACCGTGTGTTTGGAGCCCAGCAGAGCCTTCAGCATGGCGTCAGCAGACATACGAACCTTCTTCAGAGCGGGCTTCTTCACTCCAGCCAGGTCCACCACCTTCAGCTTCAGATCCTCGATCTGGGGCCAGACAAACATGTTGAACCACGGAGAGGGAGGGTCACGTGTTTCACCGTATTTATTCGTGTACAATACGATCTCATGTAAAAAAAAAAACGAGCCCCGCTTTTTCGAGCTTACAAAGCTTAAAAAAATTTATCCTCAAACTACCTCCAATTTCATACAGACTAAGATTTTTCAGCCTTTGCAGCCTTTATACATATCAGTAAAATGATCATTGGACTGTTCGTTTTATTTTAACAACATATGTACTAAAAGGTATTTTGACAACAAATATACATCAGTTGTAGCAGCATCATATGAATTCTGACATTTTACACATAGTCCACCAGGATGGGCCAACACAAAAGTCAGAGACTTCACATGAGATTTGGGCCATCTTGTGGGGGAAAAGCAGATTACTTCCTACTCGCGAGCGCCCCCTCTGGTGGGGAAACTTTTTTCAGGGATACAAAACTTTTTCAGAACACTGGTAGATGGCAGCCATTACAGACGAACATGTGTTTGTTGTTCCAGGAGTGGCTTGTTCACACGCTAATGTCATTAGTTCGCTATCATTACTAAGGTGCAGGACTACTTTTCCCCCACTTTTTTCACATCATGTTGCCTGCTTGGATCTGTTATCTTGCTCTGAAGCACAGAGGAGTGTCACAGGTAAGCTTGCTTCTACTGCTTTTTACGTCGTGGTCTCATTTCCAGACTCATGCATTTTGTGAATGAAGCCAATATTTCAGTTAAAATACATAAGTAAAAATATTTATCCGTGTATACTACTACCCCCCAACTTTATGGATGATTTTATGGATTTAATTTTACATATTATACTTGAATAAATACGGTAATTACCAATATGTCTGACACAGTGGCTTCACACCTCTTTGGTTCGTCCACATTTTTAACCATTTTAACCTGAGATGTGACAGATCAACAAAAAGTAGCACATAGAAGTGAAAGTAAAAGGATTCAAGGTTTTTAGATGCAGCGCAACCAGCTGTCCTTAGAGTCCACCTGTGTGTAGTTTAACCTCAGAGTTCTGTGAGCCTCAGAAAACTGGTGATCAAACAGCATCATGAACATTATTTTTCTGCCTTCCATAAGTCTGACCTATGTGGTTCAGCGGTAAGAAGAAAGTGTGCAAAAACTAAAAAGTGCTGTTTGCAGTTTGTCACAAGTCATGCCATTCAAATATGAACCTTTTGGTTTCAATACAAAACAGTAAAACACTGCACATCACCATGAACAAACCATCCTCACTGTGGAGCATGGTGGTGGCAGCATCATGCTTTAGGCTGTATTATGACCATAACTGTTAGAGACAAACCCTGAAAAACCTGCAGCTAAAGATGGTTCTACAGGGGGTAAAACCTTTCCAATTTTTATTTGTAGAAAATGTAGAAAAGTCAAAAATAATTTTTGTTCCACTTCACAGTTTTGAGTCATTCTTTGTTGGTCTGTTGGAGAAAAATCAAGTTAAAAACTTCAAAGTGTGTTTGTTATGATGAAATGTAACTATATAATATAGCTTAGAGAAATGACACATTCATCATCATTTTTAATTTTTCATTACAAAAAACATTTACAAAATATTTCTTGAAAATTTCTTGTAATTTCTGTTGATTTTGACTAAAACTAAATCTCCTCTTTTTATATATTTATAAACATTTGAACTGATTCTTTATTTTTACAGAGAATTTAATTTATTTTAATGTCATCTAAATAAAATAAATCTCTAATTTTTAGACCCAATTATGCTAAGTTTAATACTGCTGAAATAATGCATCAAATCTTCCTGTTTATTTTAAATGAAGAACTCAAGCTTAAATTTGTTCACTCAGTATTTGAAAATAAGCACTGAAGATGAATTAAAAAATAAAAAAATTAAAAATAAAAGCTAACTTTTTGAACTGCTGCTAATATCAAAAATTGTACCAAAACCTTTTTTAAAACATAAATGAAAAGGGAGCTTAATATAAAA